TATCTAATGCCACGTTATATCTCTGTTGACGGTATGTATCACCGTTTTCTGAAAACAGAGTTGAGATTTTTGCTGAATTTCAATTTAGTACAGATTCAGTGTGATGTGGTTATTTATACTCGTCAAAAACAAGTGCAGCAGATTCCACGAGCTGATATGTGATATTCATCCTATATCCAACAATTCTGATACGAAAACCAAAGCTTGTGACACGTTATTACAAATTTACGCCGATATAAGCAACATGAAATATTGTGGTCAACGAGGATAATTAACAAACCGGATTTTCTGCCCATTACTCTCTAATCACACCCTATCGGCCTTGAATTGCAATTGTGAGATGTGCGACTGTCAATATTTATTTAATTATCTGGATTCAATCTAATTAAGTGCATTGCTGATTTGATCAAATGACAGCTTCGTTGTAATCGGATTAAACCAAATTCACTTCAATTTAATCCAATTAAAACGTATTATACCAACTTGGATTTAGTATCATCATTGGTCTAATCTCAATTTGTAGGGTTAGCTAGTTAGGGTTTTAGACTCCGGATTGCTTCTAGAGTTGGATTTCAGTACAAATTTAGAATTCAAGATGGCTGGTTCAGATACGCCCGTTGGAGTAGCCATGGGCTCAAAGCCGTGAAGCATGTTTCCACCTTGAATTGGATGAAGCTAGGTCAGGTGGGATCACATTAATCCATCAAATACCTCTCCTCTCGTATGATTGTAATCTAGAGTCAATAATAACTAGGGTCCCGTTTGGTTCGCGGGAATATAGGGGTTTGGAATGAGAATATGGAATTGGAATCCCATTCTTATTCCTGATGGAATTCTATTTCAGTTGATTCCAATTTTTATTTTGATTCAAGTCTAAATCAAACAGATTATGAGAATAGACCATTCCAATTTCAATCCCGATTTTGATTCTAACTACAATCCAAACAAACCCTAGAATTTAGAGAATTCATATTTACTCCTCAAAAACTGCTTTTTACACCCATGACTCACCTCACATTAAGGCATTGCATCTGTGCATTAGATATATTTTCATTCATGGGAGATGTTCTCAATGCATGGCTGGAAGTGCTGTGAGGTGGGTACATGTGAAGAGCAAATCTAAATTCAAATTCATAATGAAATCCGATGGCATGATTTCATTAAATACGTATTTGTTAGAAATATTGTCCAAATTTGAGTAGTTACATCTTCACTATTGGATTTTTTTTATCTCAATTTATAGTACATAAATGAAAATATAATTAAAATTGAGGAGTTTATCTTATCATGGAAGTTTGTTTAGTTAAGAAACGATTTTAAATAACTAAAATTTCATCCATCTCCAGATCTAAGAACATTGTTGGAATTTCAAATTAATATTTATCTTTTCTCATTATACTTTTATTTTATTAATATTGACACTCCAGTATTACTTTCTAAAATCTCAAAACTTCAGATGAAATGAAGTTTAGCTTATCTCATTATTTTTGTTATTTTTTTAAAATGTCGGCTCGGCACTGCCCACAATACAACCTCTATCCAAGCCTAACGCTATGAACTTAGCCTAAGCTAAAGTCCAGACCCAACCGAAAGTAAAGCCTGATCTATTCAATTTAGGCCGAGTTCACACTGAATTTTTCTGCGTATATCAATATATGTATATAGTCAAGCATTCGTTGAATTAGGATTGGAATACGGTGAAGTTAGACTTGTGCTACGTAATGATAGGCCTAGGTCCAACCCAAAATATATTAAAAAAGAAAAAAGGAAAGCCCAAAGTTTTGAACTCAAGTATAGTTTGATAACTAAAAATATATTAAAAATCTAAGTGCAACCCATATAAAATTGCAGGTTGAGTACCCAAATTATACTCTTAGTTGAGCTTATTCCATGATTTCTTCTCTTTATATCTTTAACGAATGTCCAGATTTCTTAAATTTAAGAATTAGTATAAGTTTATTAAATTTAATTATATACGGGAATAAAGTTATGATGCTTTAAGAATACCATGTTTATGTTACATTAGGAAGTCTTGGCCTTTTGTTTGGTTGGCTTAAGTGTTAGACCACCCGACGCCTCAACCCAACCCAATTAAGGGTTCAGGTTAGGTTCGGAGTTTAACCCCACTCTAACTCCTTAAGTTGCACTTGGTTCCAACCTAGGTTTTTAAAATGAACTTACAAATAGAATTGCTTTGACCATTGGTTTCTAGGTTCAACTGTTTAGGTCAAATAATTCAAATAGTTGAATTGATTTTAGTCTTTTCATTTAGGGATGGTAATTTTGTGGGAATTTTCGGGTATTCGACCTGTTCCGACTCTAATAGGATCCGTTTATCAAAACCCTATAGGGTGTGGGACGAGTTTGGATTTTGACTTTAGAGGATCCAATACCTGATACCCGGGATGCATAAATATAAACATATTATATTATATATCATGCACAAATTTATAAATTTTAAGAACTAAGATAATTATTCTATTATTAATATTTTATTTGTATAAATTTCTTGGGATTAAAATCATCATTTGATGTAAATTTGGATTTGATAGATTCTTTATTTCATTTAATTATAAAATGCTAATTTTAAATATTATTTCTCTTAATTTTTAGTTGGAATTGTTAATCATATATATGTATTGATTGTTTTGGTGATTACAAAAGTTAATAAAATTTATTTTATTTCATTAAATAACATAAAAGACAAAATGGCTTAGTGGCTTAAAGTAATGCTAAGAGATTTTGTATTACCATTAATTGATTTGGGCTCAAGTCACACTATTAGCATTAAGAAACTTTTTTTAGTAGAAAACCTTTGTTCAAGGAGTTTAACGGGTTTTGAATCAGGGATACACAGGCAAGTTCGGGAATGGGTATGGCAATTTGCGCGGGTACTCTTGCCATGGCTAAGAAATAAAGGAGGTGATGATCACCTATGATGGCAAAATGATTTAAGATCTCTTTTCTCTCTCCCATCCCCATCATGGACAAGGTTTTCCCCATCTTCTCGGGTCCCCACTCCCCATCATTTTTATAATATTAAACTATTTTTTTTTATTTCCACTTTGTTTCATTTTTAAATAATATAGTTACAATTTACAATCTTATCAAAATAGATCTAAATCTAACGGCTTTCAAATATATTCAAATACATTCAAACATATGTATTTAACCATATTTCTTGCATCATCCCCACCAATGGAGACGAAAATTTCCCAATGCCTACAGAAAATCATCTCCATCCCCACCTCATTTGGGGTGAATCTCCATGAAAATAGGAAAATGGAAAAAATTGCCATTTATACATGAACCGGGTCGATACTAGGGGTGGATTACAAATTATACTACCCTGTACCTTAGGGGTAATGGCAATTTAGCAATTTCCCCGTGAACTTTTACATTTTGACAAAGACTCCCTTTTTCACTTGTTAAGTTGAGTAAGAAAAAGAAATTAATTTACCAAAATACCCACTCAAGAAATTTATATAAAACAAAATTTGCAACAAAAATCCAAAAGGTAATTTGTAACAAGTGGAAATTGAAAAAAGAAACTAAAAAATCAATAAAAAAAAGGTAATTTGAAGATTTAAAAATAATGAAAGTTTAAATAATCACGTAAGAATCTTTATAAAGTTAATTGACATAATTCGAATCAAATGGTTCGTTGTTAGAATATGAAAATTCAGGAGATCTTTGTGAAAAATGAAAGTTGAGGGTGTAATGCCATTTCCCGAATATTGTAATTTACCCTAAAACTATCATAATAAAGAAAAATTGATTATGATATGATTTCATAATCAGTAACCTAAATTGATAACAAGGAAAACAACCACACAGAAGTACCACCTCGCCCAACTTAACCAAAAAAAAAAAAACACCTTGCCTGAAGGGAAATTCCCCTCAGAAAATTTTATTAGATTTTTGAATGTTTTGTCCCAATTCCCAAACCCCATCTATGCTACATTAATCCGGTATCTTACTATTCACAAATTCATAAAAATTTATGCAATGGAGGAATCAATAAAACCCCTAAAATATTTCGTCCTTTCGTTGTCATCGTACAAGGATTCTGTGGACAATTGGATGACTGGTTACTTGTGCTATTTGTCTACCGGTTTCTCCCAACCTGCGATAAATCATGATTTATAAAGTACACGTGGCATATGTGAAGTTTGTCGTGCAAACATTTATGATAGTATTATCAAAAAAAGTAGACTAAAAGCAGCACAAGAAGCTTGCATGATCGTCAAAAAGTAAGGCCTTTGGTGTGGTCCCCACCATTGGCTACGGCTGTTTGGTTGACGCGTCAGTTCAATTTGTCAAGGACCAAAACTCAGAGATTATTATCAATTACCTTGTTAACATACGTGAAGCTTAATTTTACAGGTGGCGGGAAACATGTCAGCGACCTCATATCCGTGGATGGCTATCGAGGGATGGCCGGAATACATCTGTCGGGATCCCAGAAACCGTCGACTTTCAAACGCTGTCTTCCATACCTCGATTCAGAAAACAGTCAAACACCCTGATTCAGAACTCAGAAGATACAAAGTCACTTTCTTTTTAAATGGATCCTCCGATTAATCATGGACTATTAGTCTAGAAGAAAGGAAAATGCTAAAAGAAAAGGAGGAAAAATTGTAACAGGCTGAGCTCCATATTTTTTATATAAGTAGACTGCATTCAACCTTATAAAAAAGTTGCAGATATTTGTGAGCGTGACGATATTATATCTATTGGGTAAGTAGACTGCATTCAACCTTATAAAAAAGTTGCAGATATTTTTTGGCAATTTTTACGCCTTTGAATTTCTTATTGGATAAGTAACAGAGATCCGTGTTTATCCATTTGACGTTGATTGAATTTATTAATATTATTTTCTTGATAATTTGTTTGTTAGGATAAAAGAAAGCCAGATGTTCAATAATGCAGCTTCCCGCAAAAACAAGGGGAGGGGATCGTATTTCTTGATACAGTAAGCTTTATAAAAATGGCAGCGAATTCTTTTTATAAAAATATCAATACCAGAGACAAACCAACTGATTAAAAAAGCGAGGAAATAAAAGAGAGAGAGAGAGAGAGAACACTTTGATTATCAAATTATAATAATCAAGCTTCTCCTCATCCACAACACTTGTAAATTACATGAATTCGTTAACGTCCAGGATATCAGGGATCTCGAAGTTCAACATGTTGCTGCAGTAGCTATCCCTCTCATCTTCGGTGCTGCTGTTGATGTACGTTGAGGATGAATTCAAGGGCGTCGTGCTCGACGAAGGTGTCGATAGAACTGAAGCAAAGCCAAAGTTCTGGTTGTTTATGTTGCTGGGGTGGAAATTCGAGTTTTCCAACAGTGGGTCGACGAAGGGTTGGTTATTATCGGAGCCGAAATAGTCATAATTTGGCATAGGAACTAAATTTTCGGACAAAGCAGAAGGCATTACATTGTCTTGCCACGCATTACACTGGGATTCCTGGCAACCGAAACTGGTATAGTTTGATGGAAACTGCTCCGCATTGGTTTGCAATAGTTGGGTTTTATTTAGACATGGAACACTAGGAGCACTTGACGTGGTGCAAGACGGAATTTCTTGAACTGGATCAGTTTGGAGTTGGTTAGGAGGGAAAGAAGCGAACTGGTTTTGGACTTGGGGATTGCAGAGTTGATTCTCTTGAGGATTTTGTAGGAGAAACTCGGGATTTTCGCGTTGGGATGATAAGAGAGTGGTAGCTAGCCTCAGGAGCTCAGGATTATTAACGAGAGGCTTGATGCCTATCAGTTTTGAAACGTCCAGCTGAGCCTGAGATGAGTTGTAAATAGGTGAGTTGAGAATTGAGGATAGGTCGAGGAGATCAAGGCGGGGACTATGAGTTACAGGATCGATTCCCATTCGGAGGAGCCTCTTTCTAATGTGGGTGTTCCAGTAGTTCTTGATTTCATTATCAGTCCTCCCGGGCAAACGAGCAGCAATGGCAGACCACCTAGATTAATTAAGAAAATGAGAGGATGAATGTAAGAAAGATGGAATTTTAATTATAAGACGAAAATGGAAAGCTGTATTAAATTAAAGTAGTAGCTTTTGAATGCAAAGAAATTAAAGCAGTATAGAATAGTGAAGAGAAGTGTTGTGTTGCCTACTTGTTTCCCAAAATACTGTGAAGTTGGATTATAATCTCTTCCTCTTCGAATGAGAAGCGCCCTCTCTTGATATCGGGTCTCAAATAGTTGGTCCACCGAAGACGGCAGCTCTTTCCACACCTCTGAAGCCCTGTAAATCCAATCCAGAAAGAAATTAAAAGAGAAGACTCGTTTCTTTAAGTTCAATCTCACCAATGAAAATTAGACCACTAAGAGTTATGATTATTCATTCAAAAGGAAGCATTATATACTATACCAGCATTCTTCGGTAGGGTTCGCCAACTCCCATGTCCATGTTTCTGGATATAATCAATTAACTTTTGATCCTCCTCGGGCGTCCATGGCCCCTTTTTTAATCCATCTTTGTCACAGCAAGGAGCTCTTCCCATGGTGTCCAAAGCTTATCTTTAGCAGAAACCCTTTAAGGTCGATACTTTGTAGAGAGAGAGAGAGAGAAGCAGGTGGGATCAGAATTGGAAAGGAGAGACAAATGAGAGAGTAGATGGAGCTCTGTAGCACAAAGTAGTGCAGGTGGTGGTCGCATAGGACCTGTGTGTATAAATAGGTGGAATGGGTAAGAGAGAGGAGAAGTCAAAGGGATTCGGTGCCGGCCTTTGTAATCACACGACGCGACGTGTCTCTCGTTTGAAAAATAAATCTCTTATTTTTTGAATGTAAATATCGTGATTAACCCCCCCCCCCCCTCTTTCCCTTATCACACTTTCAAACCCATCTCTTTCTTTCCTCTTTCTGGATTCCTGTTTTGCTGTCACCAACAAGATTTTGCCACGTAGAGGTCCCCAGTGACGCTTACGATGACCACATCTTTCATTTACAGGGACTACGTCACGGTTTCTCCTGCATGCAATAAGCAATATCTAATATGCTGGGCCTCCAAGCAGCCGAATCCACCTGGGAACACTTCTGAATCGATTTCCTTGAACCCTTTCCTTTCTGGTGAGTGTTAAATTACGCTTATTTATTCATGACTTCACAGCATTAAATTCATTTTGATAATAATAGAGTTCGGTGTTTGCCGAAATATTTGAGCAATAAATGAGCCAAAAGAAGTCATACAATAAATAATAGTTGTTGAGATAGCGTAGATGAGAATTCTCCTTTTTTTTTTTACTTAGTGAACATGTTATTAATAATAAAAAACGGTAAAATACATAAATCTCCCCTCAAGTTTCTGACAATCATAAAATCTTCCATAGTTTCATTTTAGCAAAAATTTTCCTCTTTATTTTTTACAAAATTAACAAATACTTTCCTTCTGTCAATAACCAAGACTGAAAACGTTAAAGAGATGATCATTTTTTTCAAAATACCTATTTTATCCTTTTTCGAGCACTGTTCATCTTCTTCCCCGTTCGAACCTAGAAGCAGAGGCAACGGCGGCACCCCTCTAAATCCGATCTCTTCCTCCTCTCATCTTCTTCGACTTCTTGTTCTTCCCCTTTTTCCCTTTCTCTGTCCCATGGTTGTAGCGGCAGATTCAAACTCAGCATTGATCTGCCTTCTCCTACCATCTTTCTCCCCCATTTGCGCTCCCTCTCTTTCTTCTTCATCTCTTTTGTTCTTCTTGTTCCTCCTTTCCCTATCGGCGTCCATTTTCGGATCGCTTTCCACCACTATTCTCTGATCATCACCATAGCCGCATCCATGATAAACTAAACTTTAAATCTTGCATCTTCAACAACCTGAACTATAGAGCAAGCAAAGAAAAATAAAAAACAGAACTAAAACCAAATCGTTAATGGCATTTGACCAAGGAAACAAACTCTCAAAGATAAAACGAAAAGAGAGAAAATAAATAAATAAATTGATGTAATTGTTTCTGGTCACGTATCAATTTTTTCGTGATGTATCAAATTTTTTGGCTAAGTACCTTGTCAGTGACATATGCTCCCAAGTGGTCTGTGACTTAGAGGCTGAAGTGGAGCTCCCTAGTGGTGAGTTGTCTGGTGGCGAGCTACCTAGTGGCGAACTGCCTGGTGGTGAACTGCCTAGTGGCGAACTACCTTGATGAGCTGCTTGGTGGTGAGCTATCTGGTGGCGAACTGCCTGGTGGTGAGCTACCTTGATGAGTTGCTTGGTGGTGAGATGCCTAGGGGCGAGCTGCTCGGTGGCGAGCTACCTAGTGGCAAACTACCTTGATGAGCTGCTTGGTGGTGAGCTACCTTGATGAGCTGCTTGGTGTCGAGCTGCCTAGGGGCGAGCTGCCTAGTGGCGAGCTACCTAGTGGTGAACTGTCTGGTAGCGAACTACCTTGATGAGCTGCTTGGTGGTGAGCTATCTAGTGGCGAACTGCCTGGTGGTGAGCTACTTTGATGAGTTGCTTGGTGTCGAGCTGCCTAGGGCGAGCTGCCTGGTGGCGAGCTGCCTGGTGGCGAGCTACCTAGTTGACTGTGAGCTAAAAATCACAAAGTATGAGAGCCAGAATTTGCTTAATTGCTTGCCCGCTTCTTGCCATTAGGGTTGGTGCCTTTATATAGGCATTGTTTGGCATGGGCTTCACGCACCACATCCGAGATTTCTACGAGGTCGTCTAAGTGGTTCGAGATTCTTGGAGGTAACTGCCATGCATGTTGACCACCCTCCAGATTGTTTGGCACGTGGGCCAACTTCCAAGGATTGTGGGAGTGTTAGGATATGCATGCCAAATTTGTCAGTGAGCACGTGTCGCAGATCGCTAGGTCGGCGCCTGTGCTAGGCTGTCAGCTCGTGCCAGGGCCAGGTCGCGCTTGTGTCAGGCTGCCAGCTCATGCATGTGCCAGGCTGCCAGCTCGTGCATGTGCTAGGCTACCAGCTCGTGCCTGTGCCAGGCTACCGGCTCGCGCTT